AAAAAAAAAAAAAACACTGCTCCTAACTGGTTTGTTTCCCACCTTCAACTTTATCCTAACACTGGTATTGAACAGATAATTCTTAAATTCTCCCTTTGTTCCTTTATGTGTGTGCTAAAAAAATCCTCAGTGTTTTCCACTGCCTATAGATCAAGGTCAATGCTCTTTATCAGCTATTCAAGGCTTTCATAATAGGCACAACCTCTTTTATATTCCTCTCCTACACAAAGCCCTAGCCTGAGCCAAATTAGATACTTGTTTTACTGTCTCTCAGACATGTAGTTTTCTGTCCCCACACATTTGCTCACGTTTTGTTCGCCTCCTGTATGAGTCAGCCACGCTGCAGTCACAGCCCTGAAATCTCAATGGAAACAACAACACGTGTTTATTTCTTATTCACGTTATATGTATCTTTTTAGTGGGCTCAAGCCCTGTTCCAGGTTCCAACTCTGTGGTATGCACTGCTGTATTCTGAAATCCACATTCCAGAACCTGCCACTAGCTGGGACATACTATGCCCATGGAGAGGGCAGAAGCAAAACATGAAGGCATATTTAAAGCTTCCACTCTGATATGGCATATATCAGAATTCACTCATATTTTATTCATCAGATCAAGTCACATAGGCAAGCTCAACATGAATGAGCCAATTAAATACTCTTCTGCTATAACTAAGCATTACAAAATACACTGTAACTAGCAAGGGTGTATAACCTTCTTATAGGAAAGGACAGAGATTAATCATTGCAAACAAAAATAAAACCTACTCCACCACCAGAATCATTTTCCCTACTCCTCTTAATACTCCACCTTCTGTTCAAGCCTTGGTCCAAGTCCCATTGCTTATGCACCTGTCTGCCCTACTAACCATTTGCTCTTCCTGGAGTATCACTCATCAGTATTACACATTTGGCACTCACCTTATGCCACCATAAGCAACAAGTTCTCCTACCATCTACACGTGTTGTGTTCATTCCTCACTAGACCATAACCTTCCTCAGGGTCAGATAAATCTTACCGCTGTTGATAACCTCACTGATTGTACAGGCTATGTTCCCTCCTGCTGAAGAAGATGGTGGTTACATTTTTCTGTTATGGGAAACACATTTCATCTTAAAAGAATAGACTGAGTGTAAAGGAGCATTATTACCAAATTTTAATGTATTCTCCCCTTGTTTACAGCATTATCAAAACCAATACACAGAGATACACCATGTCTGCATGCATATCTGGAGCCTAACCACTTATTAAATAAAACATGTGGCATGAAACAGAACCATGACTACACTGAAGGGGCCTGGGCACCTCCTAGACTTCACCAGAGCCCTGGACCTGCTGTGAAAACAGTAACCTCAATAAACAGAAATGGAATGATTTAGCCGGGCGCAGTGGCTCACGGCAGTAACCCCAGCACTTTGGGAGGCTGAGGTGGGTGGATCACAAAGTTAGGACCTCAAAACCAGCCTAGCCAACATAGTGAAGCCCTGTCTCTACTAAAAATACAAAAATTAGCTGGACGTGGTGGCACACGTCTGTAGTCTCAACTACTCAGGAGGCTGAGGCAGGTGAATCACTGGAACCTGGAAAGCGGAGATTGCAGTGAGCCAAGATCACAACACTGCACCCCAGCCTGGATGACAGAGCAAGACTCTGTCTCAAAAAAAAAAAAAGAAAAAAGAAAAAAAAAAGGAATTGAATGATTTATTTTAATGAAAAGTAGCTGTGCTAAAAATGGGAATTTTAAAAGATGTCTTCGTATTTTTAGACAGTTCTCTTTCAATTCTTATAACATTAACAGTTTTAGAGCCAGATTCACAAGTCATACAATTAAACAGGATTTTCCCAAAAACGAATTCTTTGCAACAAACCAGCAGGAGGCATAGTCCCACCTTGACAGGGTGCTATTTCTACAAATTCTATTTTTAAAGTTTTATTGCCTTTCTCCCAGCTAATCAGTACCCAGTAATTATTCTTGAATGTTGTATATTCATTTCACTGTATTGCAAAGTAATGCCTTCCATATTTCCTTGTCAGCTGTATTATTTTTTAAATTACCCCTCAAACACAACTCTGATGTCAGGAGGTGACTTCTGTCACGTGAGATACGGTATCTCCCTTCAACAGCGGATCAGAACCTCCCAGCACCTCCTCAGGCACACCTTCCTCAGGGTCGAATCTATGCTCACATTCCTGCGTGGTTCTTTTTCCTTATTTGAAGTTATGCTCATGACTCTGTGCAAGGGAGTCATTGCCTCTTCTGCCCACAAATAGAATCCATTAAGAGAAAATTCGTTCCAAACTCATCTTCGGGTAGTGAGGAAGACTGGGTAAACCCTCAAAGGTCTAGAGGTTGAATTTCATTTGGAAAAGTCCCCAGGAGTTCAGCTGCTTATCCAGTCCTTATCCGAACTATGAAAGTGGACTAGGGAATGTGCTGACAGGGAGGAATTAAAAGTTCCACCAAGCACCAGTGTAACCCAGTTGCATAGCCCATTGCTGCACGCAGCTGCTGAGAAGGAGGGAGGAGAGCAGGAGAAGATGCTGAGGGAGAATGAGTTAAGAAACCTCATTCTTTTTCTTTCAGGAGGCTCGGAGAAGAACTGTTCATGCTGTATGTCATACTGAGAAGTCCTATTATCCTTACTGAGGTTGCTCCTGACAAATAGAGAGTTCATTTGTAAATAAGGTTGAGATGCCTTTCCTAAAAATAATTTATTTTCTGACATGAAGGTCAAAAGCTTTGAAAGGTAGTGAGGCACCATTATTTCCTCAGGCTTTTATTTTTATTTTTTATTTTGTAGAGACGAGGTCTCATTATGTTGCCCACCTGGTCACGAACTCCTGGCCTCAAATGAACTTCCTACCTTGGCCTCACAAAGCAGTGGGATTACAGACATGAGACACTATGCCTGAAAAAAAGCCTTGGATTCTTAAAAGGTGATGTTTGGAAAGGAAGAAAATTATATTTGGAAAAAGAAATAGACAAAGAGGGCTTTATTATGGAATTCTAGCCAGGAACGGTGGCTCATGCCTGTAATCCCAGCAGTTTGGGAGACTGAGGTGGGAAGATCACTTGAGGCCAGGAGTTTGAGAACAGCCTGGCCGACATGGCAAAACTTCATCTCTACTAAAGATACAAAATAATTAGCCAGGCAAGGTGGTGCACATGTGTAATCCCAGCTACTCAGGAGGCTGAAGGACGAGAATCTCTTGAAACAGAGAGGCAGAGGTTGCAATGAGCCAAGATCATGCCACTGCACTCCAGCCTGGACAACAGAGCAAGACTCTGTCTCAAACAAAAAAGGAGACTCTGTCTCAAACAAAAAAATTCCAAGGAGGCCTATCAGATCAGATACTCATGCTATGAGGGTAATGAGACTGAAATAATTCATCAATTTAATCACTCACATCAGATTTCTTTGCTTTTTCTCAATCAATGTGACTGGCATTTTGATCTGAGCTTTAATAAAAATAAAATTACACAGATCACTGTTTAGTTGAACTAGGTTAATACAGGGAGTTGAAGTATTAAGCCATAGAATAGTACCTAGAAAGAGAAGCTTCTTTTAAGACATCTGTCAATCTACCTTTTCCTTCCCAAGAGCCTCATTCAATCATTCAAGAGAAAAGACAGCTTTCATATTTTTTTAAGCACAACCATAGGGAAAACAAAATGCTATCCTGTCTCATTGTTAATAACACTCATCAGTGCTGGAAAATTGTTTCTTATGTGTGACCCAAAGAAAAAAATTAACGAATGCTATAGGCCATCTTTCTTAGGGACTGACATCCTATTGCTGAGGTCTAATCTCTCTCACTGGCCTTTCTGGAGTCCAGAACGGCTGTATAAGGCGCTAAAGATAAGCTAAGGCCTTCCATATGTGTCCTGCTCTTCCTGGAAATCATTCTCTCCTAGAAGAAAAAATAAGGCTCTATTTCAATGGGAACATATCTTTTCAAATCTCCCAAAACTTTGAATAACATTCCCTTAAGGCCAGACCTGGCCATTTTGTTGATGAATAGCACTGAGAAAAAAACAAAACAAAAACAAAAAAGACAGGAGATTTGATTAAAAGAAAAAGAAACTTACATTTTTATATATGTGCTTTTCTAGGATTTGAATACACTAAACACCTCAGTATTACCCAGCTCTCTTAGTAAAAAAGAAAAACACTCCAAAAGAGGAAAATTTTTGAACCTTCTTTGAATGTAAAGCACCAAGTCATATAATGCCTGCTCACATTATGTAACTGCCCACAGAAAATTGACTGAATTAAAAAAAAAACAACTTGTACAGTTCTAGGGTTTTATAAAGGTGTATTGAGTAGGTGGAATCCCATTTTGCTGGGATAATACTTATGAGCATTAGATCTCATTCTGATAGAAAACCAGGTATCCAGGGAAAAAAGGAAAAAAGAAAAGAAAGAATGAGAGAGTGAGAGAGAGAAAGAGAAGAGAGAAAGAGAGAAAGAGAAAGAAGAAAGGAAGGAAGGAAGGAAGGAAGGAAGGAAGGAAGGAAGGAAGGAAGGAAAGAGAAAGAAAGAAAAAAAAGAAAGAAAGAGAAAGAAAGAAGGAAGGAAGGAAAGAAGGAAGAAAGAAAAGATAAAAGAAAGAAAGAAAATAGGAAGGAAGGCGGGCAGGAGGGCAAAGAAAGAGAGAGATATGGAGAGACAGAAAGAAAGAAAGAAAAAGAAAGAAAGAAAAAGAAAGAAAGAAAGAAAGAGAAAGAAGGAAGGAAGAAAGAAAAGAAAGAAAATAGGAAGCAAGGAGGGCGGGAGGGGAAAGAAAGAGAGAGATGGAGAGACAGAAGGAAAGAAAGAAAGAAAAAGGAAAGAAAGAAAGGAGAGAGAGGGAGGGAGGGAGGGAGGAAGGAAGCAAGCAAGGAAGGAAGGAAGGAAGGAAGGAAGGAAGGAAGCAAGGAACAGAGGGAGGGAGGAAAGGAGGAAGTGGGGAAGGGGGAAGGGAGGGAGGGAGAAAACCAGGTGACCAGGTATCCGGAAAGTCACAATTTTTCCTGAAACATCTAGGAAACAGGTATGTGTAGGTGATGGGAAATTAGGGGTTTTTTGCACACTCACGTTACAACTTTTATTATCCTTTCTTCCTAGAATTACAGAATCATAAAAACCCTAGAAGCCATCTGGAAGGGAAGAAGAGAATAGGAAAGAACAGAAGAGTATAATGTTCAACATGGAGGGGAAAAGAATAACAATCCGTATTTCAGCAATAGAAGCAGCTTCGGTGTAAGCAATGTCTCGGCAGCCACTCCATGGAGGAACAGGACCCTCTCCCAGCCTTGTCAGCCACTCCAGCTAAGCAGCTGCTGCACCAGGTGCATTGCTGCTGTCTTCCTAAGAGTTCAAGAACATGGGCTCTGGAGTCACATGGCCTGCGTTCACATTCCAGCTCCATTCATAGCCTGCACGACCTGCAGCAAACGTCTTGATTTCTCTGCCTCAATTTCCCCATCTGTAAAATAGAAATAAACATAATATCAATCTCATAAAATTGTTGAGAAGATTAAATTACATAAAGCAGAGAAAACATATATAATACTGAATGAAAGGTAGTGAGTGTCCAATAAACGTAGGCTAGTATTGCATTTCTTTCCATGTCTACAACAGCCCTGGGAAGTAATGAGCATCCTCTTCATTTACAGAAGAGGATACAGAGTCAAGGAGGCCACTTCACCTTCCTGGTTCACACCATTAGTTCGAATTCCATATAGTACCTGAGTCCCAGAACTATCTGGCTCCAAATTAATGCCCTTTCCCCTGTACCACACGGTTTCTGCACACTCTCAGGGCCCTCAATGAGAAAAATACTGACTTAACTTAGTGCAAATGGTCAATTAATAGTATTTGACTGAAGGCCAGGCCAGTGGTTCACTTCTGTAGTCCCAGCACTTGGGGCAGTGAAACCCTTTAACCCAGAAGTTCAAGACCAGCCTAGTCAACATGGTGAAACCCTGTCTCTACAAAATTTAGCCTGGCATAGTGGCATGTGCCTATAGTCCCAGCTACTCAGGAGGCTGAGGTGGGAGGATTGCTTGAGCGCAGGAGGTAGAGGCTGCAGTAAGCCTCATAACGGCACTGCACTCCAGCCTGGGCAACAGAGTGAGACCTTGTCTCAAAAAAATATTTTTTTAAATAGCGTTTCAGTGAACAGCTATCATTTTACATGGCTGAAAGAATGGATACTCTTCCCAGAACATAAAGTTAATACTAGATGGTAACATTCCTGGACTATGTACAGTCAATCCTAAGCATTCGATGACTCCTTTAAAGACATTTGTCTTTAAAATTTGTCTGTAATCCCACTAAAGTAGTAATTCTTAAATTTTATTGAGTCTTGGACCACTTGGAGAATCAGATCAAAGCAAAGGACACTTTCCCCAGGGGTGGGAAATGCATGTATACATACTCACAAAATATGTATACAATTTCAGTGGGTTCAGAGACTTGAGAAGTTCATGCAATCCAGGTGAGCAATCCGCCATTCTAATGAGCCTGGAGATCTGGAATGCTGTTCCACTTACAAGGATGCATTTTCTATGTGGCTATCATCACCCTGCTTGGTCTCTGCTTTGTTTCTTTTTGACTTTTTCTCTTCTTTCCTGTTCTCTTTCCTTTTACCTCTCTTACTCTTTCTTTCTCAACTCTCCACCCCTCCTACCTTGGCAACCAGATGGAGCCACTATCGAAATCTCCTCTCCCTTCCCCTTCCTCCCCTCTGTATCCTTCCTGACCAGCTGATTCCGGAGAGGAATCCGATAACTTATCAATAAGCATAGGTTGCTCCATAGGAATTTTGGCCAGCCTAGGAAACAGTCTTTCTTTGAAGGATAGCAGATCAGAACTTCTGGATCCATTAAGAAGTCATTTCTCCTAACTCTCCGGTAAATGCAACCACTTTCCATTAAATATATGCAGATTTGCTATATCCTGTTTTCAAGGAAACAGATTCACTAAGTTAACAATTCTGGTATAGATATCTGTGAACTCATTTGTTCTTTTATAGCTGTGACTTTTTCATAGTACCCATCAACTTAGTAGTTAAGCACTCAGAAAAAGATATATTGGACACGTAAAGCTTTATATAAACAACTCTTGCATTAAAATGTGTCTGTCTCTATTAGGTTTTTTGTTTGCCTACAATGTGCAAGTGAATTTAATTTTTATCAGTTTTATTTTTTAAATAAGCTTTTGAAAAACTCATAATGCCATCCTTTGGAATCCTTGGCCAACTCTTATAGTTATATATACAACTGCCTAGAGTTGCCTAATATGAAAATGCGGTTTAGTAATTATAAGAATGAAAAGCTTCAAACTGAAATGAAATGTAAAATCATGAACTACAATATTGAAATGAAATCTTGTTTAAACGATTTGTCTTGGCCAGGCACAGTGGCTCATGCCTGTAATCCTAGCACTTTGGGAGACCAAGGCATGCGGATCACAAGGTCAGGAGTTCGAGATGAGCCTGACCAACATAGCGAAACGCCGTCTCTACTAAAAATGAAAAAATTAGCTGGGCATGGTGGCATGCGCCTGTAGTCCCAGCTAATCAGGAGGCTGAGTGAGAGAATGGCTTAAACCTGGAAGGCAGAGATTGCAGTGAGCCGAGACCGCACCATTGCACTACAACTTGAGTGACAGAGTGAGACTCTATCTCAAAATATAGATAGATAGATAGATAGATAGATAGATAGATAGATAGATAGATAGATTTGTCTTAGAGTTTGACTTTTGATGCATTTGGTGCCTCTAGAATATTCCATCATCAAGACAAGAAATCTGGAAAGTCAATATTTTCATTTCTAAGCAAGTCAAAATGTTTTGTCTAAACCAAGAATTTTCTTTAAGGATTCTTTCAAAGGGAACTGTCCTTTGTATTTTTCACATGAAAGTTTCTGCAAAAACCAACTAAGATATGATGGTCATGTTTTTAATAAGGTAAATTCACAAACATACATGTGCCTTAGATTATTAATGGTATATTTTGTAAACTGTCAGGCATACAAAATTAAAGGAGAGAGAGACAAAGGCTTTATATATGAGCATTACATGTTTACTTTGCAGTTTTAAAAATATATCATAGTAACTTCATCAGCATTTCCACTTACTATAATGATCATTTAAGATTCTGTTATGGTGAAGTCATTCACTGAATTGAAACACTTTTTTTGTAATTTGGAAAGAAAAAAACTGTGTAAAATGAATAGCGTTGGCAAATGTTTCTAATCATTTCCTTAAAATACCAAACCACCAAACAATCTTTTTATTTACTACATTTTGCTTAAGTGCATAAATCAAAGGACAATAACAAGCCTAATGTCAGAGAAACTTTTTGACACTTCATACATTTGAGCAAGCTTAGCCGATAAACAGTTTAGATGAAGTTATGGTTTGAAATATGTTTCCCAAGAGGACTGTGGTTCATAAATTGCTATCAGGCTACCTCTGTCATTATTGATTTGAGAAGTGCTCAAGGTACCCACAGCTATTAACTAAGGCTAGCATTACCTGACCTGCTTTTCAGAGAATAATATTTGGTTTTACAAAGACAACTAACCAGCCATTCTATAAGAAACATGCAGTTTGCTTGTCATCAGGCACATAATATAGTGCATTCTATTTGAAAATGTTGACCAACAATTAAAAGAGGAGGCAACATAATCTTAAACAGGCTTCCAACCATCTTCATAATCCTAAAGGGAATTAAATCAGTTGTTCCATAACAACTGTACTGGGAAAAGCCAGAAGAATGAGAGCATTTTTTTAAATGCATCAAACAATAGAAATTTGCATCTCAGCATTTTGCAATTATATGATTATTTATTATACCTGTGCATAATAAATATCTTTAATACTCTTTGCAGACACATGTTTTTGATAAGCTTACTAAAAATAAACCCACGGGCAAATCAAATACTAGTCCCATAATGTGTGTGTGTTTATTTCTTTACCTGCCAGCAAAAACTAGCTTGCCATTGCTCCTCAGTGAGGGCTGAGTATGGAACAGTTTACTCTCCAACCCCTGCACCATGCCCTCTGCCTTGTGGATTTAGGAAATGTCAGGAAAGATCAGAGCAAGGATCCTGCTACTTTTTTATTCAGATCCTCTGGTCTTAACCTTCAAGGAAACATTTAAAAGTTAGTTATGACTTGATCATTCTGCATTAGGTTTGTCATCAGTGACCTGGCTTTACAAAAACACAGAACCGAAGAGTTTCAGGAACAGACTTGATGAGTGTCATCAACTGCTAGAGATGTGATAAATTTATGAATTTTATCAGCCTTGCTTTTAAAAGTCCTGGTAAATTAAACAGTCAGAGGTGGAGGTTTCCTGCGAACCCTCTTAATCATCTGAGCGGCTGCATGACCGCTTGTTCCAGGAGAGCTACACAAATAAAAACTGGACCGCATCACTTTCACACAAAGAAATCTGCCAAACACAAAGGAAAATGTTTGGTGTTCTTATTTTAAAAACAAAACAAAACGAAAAACTATCTCCCTGGAACTTATGATTTGAAGCCCTTTGGATAACTCATTCAAGGAAATACCTCTTGAGCTACTGTCTCCTAAGAAAGTTTACATTTGGTAAACTTTCTTCATGTTTCCATAGTAACCTTTGCTAATTTTGCATAACCATCTATTCGGCTATCTGAACAACAAAATGGGTTTTGCCAAAGCTGACTTAAATTCACCTCGGCTATGGCCTTTGTCTAGCACGGCTTAGGAGTCAGAAGTCCTAAGAAGAACAAAGGTCGTCTTTCTCATTCATAATTTACAGTGCTGCATGGTACAGAACTTGGAGAAACAGAGCAGATGCTGGTGAGCAATTAACAGCCTCTCTAGATCACGATCAGCGGCTTCACTCGCCCACCCCTTGCAACCCAAAGTAAAAATAAAATCCGTTTGTTTTGAACTTGTCTTAAATATGAAATACCAGGCCTCTTCCATAGTTTGTTGTTATTGCAAATTAAAACAGATTCTGTAATTACAGAATATCTTTTATTTTATTTTATTTTTTTTTTAGGTTATAAACCATGGAACTCCTCTTTCCTAAAGACCTTGGGAAACTTCCACAGAATTGGTTTACTCCTCTAAAAAGTATCTAAAAATGCACAGTGCATTTTACTCTGGTAAAACACTTCTGACACATAACTATTAACCTTTGAGCAGAGGGTCTCCATCTACTTTCTGTCTTGACCTCGTCTCCCACAGTCCTTTGCGGTAGTTTTGGCCTCACTTCAAAGACCCGCCAGGAGGGGCTGCCCTTATTCTATTTCCTTCTTCCTCCCCCACTTCTTCTCTTGTGCCTCTATTTTTTTTCCCCCCTTCACTTTCCTCTTACAACTTTCTTGCCTTCGGTAGAGAAACATCTAATCTCTCTATCTTCCCAACAGCTTTACAGTCCGCCTGACCATTTACCTAGCTCTTTCCTTTCCTTTCTTGGAGGGAAGG